AAAAATTCCTCTCTCAAGCATGAAAATATATTGCATTTATAGCAATAGATGTAATTGTTTCATGAACTATTGCAGTACTAACTCTTCATCTGGGGCTCAGTTACTTGTTTTCTTCCAAAGTTATGCCTTGTTATGTTAAATAGAAAATGAGAGTGGAAGAAAATTCAGCAGAAATTCCGTAATCATGCTGGTTTCTCTATTGAGGGATCCCAGAAGGGAAGCGAGAAGGCTCCACAATAAGGTGAAAGAAACAAATCAGTATGTAGCCTTCTACAGAAGGAATAGAAAATGAGAAAGTCTAAAAGGAACAAAATACTGAGAACCTACAAAACAGTGTGACTGTCTCAATGACATTTAAAATAGATTTCTAAAGCCTCCCAAATAGGGAATTGAAATGTTACCTTGAATTTTAAGCAGTGCATATTTATGTTGAGGAAACAATGATCACAATAAAACAAGTTTAATAATGGATTTGTTCCATAAAGTGCTTGAGATAAGCAATAATACAATGTTATAATACTGTTGTGTATTAGTTGTAACCATACTGGTATAGAGATGTTGTTCTTCCTCCCAATTTACTAGAGGTGCTACATTTGAGTGACAGTAAAAATAGACAAGAATTGCTGTTTAAAAATTGCTAAAATATGGCTTCTCACTCTGTTCTTCCAAAGTTTCAGTGAAGCAGTGCTGCTCTTGTGAAAAACAGCTGTTTCTGACCTTAACACTTTTATTTGAAGAGCTTATGCTTTAAGCTTTCAAAGCCATAAACTAAGCCTTTTAAATATAGACATCATTTGAAAGTAGCAAGCTAGAACAAGGTTCTTGCTACCCTGACTTTAAAAATTATTTTTTTTTAAGAGCACTCTAATGAGCGATATCAATTTGCTGCAGACTTCCCTACAGCTCATTTGCTTTGCATCAGTGGAGAATTTGGTCAGGTCCTCTGAGGATGCAAGGCGTGTGCCTTTGTTGGTGTGTAGTCAGCCTTCACCACCCTCCAGGTGTGCCCAGCACTGCACATAACAAACCATATGCTCTTTGTATTGTTCCACCAAGGGATAAGTCCCTGCATTTGAGGATGGCTGATAAGTTTAGAGAAATCTTGACATTAAAATCAGGAAAAATACAGAAAAATAGATGAAGTTCTTTAGGAATTTTACAAGGTGATTTTCTGTTTCTCTTTTTTTTTTTTTTCCCCTGCTTTAATTTAAACTGATTTTTTCTGCAAATCTGCTATGCTTTAACTGAGATATGCTTGTAAGCCTTGCTCCATAAAGTGTCAGGCTGTAATACTTGTTCAGAAATAAATCTGCCAGTAATGGGAATGTCCCTACCATAACCATAAACAAGGAGACACAAGGATAATCATCTCAGCTCACCCAGAAGTAGATTTTCAAGTTTATTCGTTTTCTGTAGTAACAAATTTGAAAGTAGAGCTACTTGGAGTGCCATTCACATATCACCAGTCCTAGAGCCTAACCTGGCACCAGAATGTCTTCAAAGAAGGAGAGTACATGGTTCATTACAGCTCCTGGATTCATCACTCCTAACGCCGCACAGCTTGGGGCATGTCGGACTCCACAAATTAAACAGGTAGTCTTGATCTGTTCCAGGCTGCTACACCTGCAGCAAAAGCACCTGGTGCACAGAAAAGGGGCACTGGGGATTCATTAGGTGGCATTTTCCTTCTGAAGCAGCATTGATTAACTCCATGTTATGCTAATGAACTGCTGGAAGCAATATCAGCCAGCAGGATGGGGAGTGGGCAGGTACAGGAGCTGAAAGGATAGTTTTGATCAAGTTCTTCTTAGTGAAAAGTGAATCTCCATCTTACTGATGGAGATTTTTGGTTTTGCAGTGTGTTTATGGTTTTCTTTTTTTTCTCCTCTGTGGTTCTTTAGTATTGTGCTCAATTATTTGATTTTATAATAAGTTATGTCACCAAAAAAAAAACCAAAAAACAAAACAAAGCCGCTCGTACTGAAATACACTAAACAATATTGTAATGTTTTGCTCTGCTTTAGCCACTGATTTAGCTTTACTTTGCTACAGGGCATGTCAGCTATTGTATGCATTTCAGATTTGCTGGGAGGGGAATATTAGAAGGCAAGGCATCCTTAATCTCAAACCATAATTGTCGGTGCATGTTGTACAGACAGAGTCTTCCTCCCCAAATCTTCTGCCACCCAAAACTCCATGCACCCCGAGAGGATTTTGCATTATTGATGTCCATGTTGATCAGTTTGTTGTACCAGAACTACTGGATGTTCTATTCTTAGTTTTGCAATAAATGTACAGCAATATTTTCCAAGCTCAGTGAGATTGTCTAAAAGAATCAGGCCCTTTCCCTCAGCTCTGTTTAGCTCCAGTAAAATTTCCGGCCTCTCCTGGTGCTCCTGGCTAATTACACATTAACAAGAAAGCTGCATGTGTTATCTGCTTCTCTCCTATGTACCGACAATACATAGTACTGTATTGTATAGTGAACACTACAGCCAAGTAGAAGCCTGAAGGTCAGACTTCATAATTAGCTCATATAAATAGCTTTGGCTTATGTTAATCATAGAACACAGAATCACAGAATAGTTAATGTTGGAAAAGACCTTTAAGATCATCAAGTACAAACTTTTTGTTAAGGAAAAGCCAGCTTCACTTTGAGGATGGCGTCAGATTCCTATTGTATGAATCAAAAAATCCTCAAAGACTCCCAAATGGTGATATATCTATGTAAGTCTGGTTATGTTTTAAAATCTGTGTTTTAAATTGGTAAAGGAGTTAATATAATTCTGTTTGTTGACTTGAATTAATGAAAAATTGTATTAATTGATATCAAACAGGGGAGCTTTTGTTTTACTTCAAATCCAGAGAATTTAATTACATTACAAAAAAAAAACCAAAAAAACCCAAACTTAAAAAACCATGATGGGAGGTCTTTTTGTCAATGCTTCATTCTGATATAAATTAAAAAACTCAGTGCAGTCCTCCAGTTTTTACGTCTTCTTGCCATCTTGGTCGTATGAAGGACTGATGATATTTGGGATTTACTGAGGTGACCAAAGGAAGAATAAAATGTTTGGACCTTGAAGGGAATGGCAATTGTGGAGAAATCTACTTTGAGCCCTGAACTGAAAGAGCATATTTTCTGAATTTTATGTGTAGAGGAGAGATGAAGGGGACTATTTCTTGTATATCTGTGGTAAACCTGGTTTAATGTTTACTGATTTGTTTGTTTTAAAAAATGGTGGGAGAAAGTGTAGAGAAAAAGCCCAAAACATAAGATACACGTGAAAACCTGCATTAAATTATTATCCAAGTTGAAGAAATGAGCTAATTCTGAATGAAAATACTTTCTTTTCCTATTAACACTGTTAATACTAAACACTAAAAACCTGTTAAAAGTAAAATAAAACAAACAAAGCAAAGTTAAAAATCATACAACCATTCTTAAAAAGAGTTAACTGTACAGTTTAGGGCATTTTTGTTTTTGTTTTCCATATGAATTTGAAAGGTGGATTCATATGGAAAATAAAAACAAATATATCAGATATCAGATCAAAATGGATGTCAAACATCTGTGAAAAGCTATTCTACAGTATAAACAAAAATGAAAGATATTAATGCCTTTACATTCAAAGCACCTCAAAAAAAGGGGAAGACAATTACAAGTTTACCTCACAAAATGAAGTTGTGATTTGTAATTTGAGACAAATTTTAATACATTTTCTTTTTGTGCAGTGGGAGCATTGATTTGACAATTGAAATCAGTGTAGTCATGGCTATTAGCTCAGAATAGAACAGAAGTTCTTTCTCTGAGATTTGTGGTACATGGCTATTGCAGCACATGGCTGAGTGATGAGAGATTTCTAAAAAATAGAACGAAAAGGATGAAAACAGTGAAGCTGTAACATTTTTCAGGGACTCAAACTTTGCATTCTGTGGTAACACAAACTTAAGCATGGTATTTTCTTTTCAAGTTGCTGTGTGCAATGCATGTGTACCTGAAAGCATATTCCTGATAGAAAGGGTAGGTATAAATGATTGAGTAAGGTTCTACCTCTAGGAGAACTTATTTCTGCTGATCTCACTCTCTTGAGTTTATTCTAAGTAGTGGATTTGTTGCTTAGCTTTTTAAAAAGTGGAAGAGGTTGTTTTACTTTGACTGCCTTGTTCAAAGTATTTGTTCTTGCATAGAAACACGATGCAGACCTGCCTGGATTATTTTTCCTGAATGCCTCTTGGAAACTGCAGTTTTCATTAGTGAATTTTTCATGAGGTGATTTTCCAAGCTCATCAGAGAGAAACAGCAACATGGGAAAACATTGTTTTTGCACAGATTTCCCAGTGTACAAAGAGAATCTGGTCAAACTTGGCCCAATGTCACTGAAATGTCAGTCCTGAAACACCAGAAAACATCACATTTATACTTTGTTGTCCTGTGATCACAGCTCCACATGCACAATTACAAGGGAGTTGGAGATCAAGAAGAACTATTTGAAATAGTATTTTCAGCCTGTATTTGATATTCTAAATGCTCTTTTGGTTTACAAAGTGGCATACATTGAGAAATCAGCTGTGGAACTATGGAACCTTCCCAATTGTTGTGAACAGCTTCCCAACAGAGGTCCATTGGGTAGTAGTTTGAACAGTCTGCTTGAAATAGGTATAAAGCAAATTATACTCATTATTCATCACCCAAATGTTTAAGTTGGTTTTGAGTGTTCATTCCTGGGGAAGGAGGGAATTGTTTTATGCAGAGATCAGATGTAAACATGGAAAGATCACTTCTTGGTTTTGCTTTGGTGGTTTTTCTATGCCTCCTTTTCACACTTAGCTGCAGTCCTTGCCCACTCAGGTTTGAGTGTGCCCCTGCTCAGGGACATCAGTTCTAAGAGGACTCCTCAGAAAACTAAATCCACTATTTGTTACTGATGAGAGCCTGCTGTCAAACTCCCTGCATGCAAATGTCTCTTAACTGACTTTTTTCCTTCTGTTTAGGTTTGGGATTTGGAGTTCTTTGTGGTTTTGCTCTTTGCCAAAAAATGATTGTGAATCCTGTTGTGCTGGTGACATGAAGAGCGCTGGTCAAAAATGATTCAGCCAGTCAAGTAAGCAGAGACACTTGATGTTCTCCCTTGCCTGTGTGCTTGTGTTGAGCTTAATTTTTGCTTAAATTTTCTTTATTTTAATTGTTCTCTGTCAGCTGCAGTGAATTTGTTCTTGCACTGGTGGGAGGATATTTCCAGTTTTGTTTTTATAAGCTCTCTAATAATCTGTCACTAGTCTCTGCTGCAGGTGAGTTACAAAGCTCTCAAATCCCTTTTGCTTTCTTTGCAAGGTGCTACCAATCAAATACTTGTACATGATCTATTAGACATTGCAACAAGCAAGGTGTCACAAAACACTTTTATCATGATGTCAGTGTGCCATTCCAGTGTTACTGCCATTATTGTCTCTTCTGGAGAAGAGAAGAGGAGCTGCTTTGGAGTTACTTACAGGTCAGTTATCTGTTAAACAAGTTTTGAGATCTTGGTATCTTTATGCCCTTTTTCTAAGAGGGGGACTGAAAGAGAAAGCTGCAATTTAAAATTATGACTGTCAATATTGATATTCAAGGAACTGAAACGGAAGTTTTACTTTTCAGAAGTTTTACTTTTCAACACCCCTGTGGGAAGTCCAAAGCATTTAACCACTCACTTATGGTCTTATTTGCAGTATAAATGTCATAGATGTACATAGGTCTTTGCTGCAGATCACTGAGTTGATGTTTTGGGGTTTTTTAAGTGAAAAAGAACAGTGATGGCAATTTGATAATAGGGGCACTACAGTTTCTCTTGCTATACAGCAACCATAGAAGAGGCAAGGCACACATCGACAAGAATTATTTCAGCTATAATGCTGGTAAACTGTTGGACAGTTTAGTAGGTTTCAGATGGAAATTCAGGATATTTTATACATGTCATCATACAAGTTCTGCGAGGTGAATACAAATGTTAGCCACTTACCAGGAAAGGTGCAAAAATCTTAAATAACTTGGGAAAAAAAACCCTACAATTTTCATCTGCTTATTGCAAACTCTTATCACTTCAGCTAATGTGAGGCTGTGCAATAATTTATGCCGCTGACCTAATTTGTCATACAAAGATTGCATTAATAAACAAGCTCAGCTGTGTAGGGCTCCAGGCAGGGATCCTTTAGGAGTGGATATGTTTGGAAAGAAGGCAATAGTTTTATTTATCAGTCATTCTCTCCCCTTCTGGGAAGTTTCAAATTTTGGCAGTGCATAACGTCTGCATGTTAAAAACACCTACTTTGTCTAAACTCATCAGTTTTTCTTCTCTCACCTTGCAATGTCTATTCTTTGTGCTCAAAAATTGCTTCTTCAGATTTCTCACTGTAGTTTTAATGAACAAAGAAATTTTAAATAGGTGGGTGAGGCACTTGCCGAGTTCATTCCAGATATTGATGCCAGATACTCACTTTGGAGTAAACCTAGAAACTAATATTACACAACTCAGGAAGAATATTTTCATAAAAGTGACCTTAGTAAGAATGTTTCTAAATAAAGATAATCTGAGGGGGTTTTATTTGTGCGTGTGGGGAAGTGTGTATGTGTGTTTTGCTTTGTTTTACTTTTGTTTGGTTTGGGGGGCTTTTTCTGGGTTTTTTGATCGGTTGGTTTGTTCTGGTTTTTTTGGGTTTTTCCTATTTTTTCCGTGTTTTTTGGTGGCCATGGTGATTGTGTTGTGTGGGGTTTTTATCTGTTAGTTTTTGTTGGTTTTTTTGGTTTTTTTTTGTTGTGTGTGTTTTTTTTTTTTTATAATCACCACATTTGGGTAATTCTTAGGTACCTATGCAGCTAGAGGCAGATTTTTTCATTCTTCTGCTGAGGTACTTTCTGTCTACTGTTTTGGTTCATATTTTCATCCTGAAAACATAGGACAGTTCTACTTGCAGAGGACAGTAAATCTCTCAATAAATCCTGAAAATAAATCTGTCCCAGTTTAAGAAATTTCTAAGCCTGAGTGACTCCTTAATATTGGATCCTTTGTCTGAAATGAAATGTTTTAATGGATTTTGAGTACATACCTTAACAAACAAATTATTATTGCAGGTTGCAGAGATGTGAAATCTTATAAGGAACAAATTCTAAAGGGGTTGTGCATCACAAAATGAAAAATTAAAACAGAGAAAATTCACTGTTGTTAATGGAAGAGTGGCTGTGCTACTCGCAGTATTTCCTACTCCTCCACATTAAATATATCCATTTCAGGCATTTCTAAGAGCTCCACTACCAAAATATTAAAATGTCAAATTTTCCTGAATACATGCCATGGAATATATGAGATTAGAATATTATTTCACATTGAAGTTGTTATTCCAAAAGAAATATTATTTTTAGGACTTTTATTTTTAGTTTTCCAGTTCTGTGTCCACATGTAATTTGCTATTCCAGTGTTCAGAAAGAAGTTCTTAGTGAAGATGAAAAATAAAACTCTTAATAGTCTTCAAATTTTTGGGGGGTTTTAGTAAATTTAAAAGGTTTTTATGAGAGTGGTGTTTAGGTGCACAGCAAATAGACTAATGCACCTGATATTCAGTACAGGTGTGTAACAACATGCAGTATTTAGCACATTGGAAATTGGCAGGGGATTTCTATGCCAAATTTAGACCTAGAAAACTCTTCCAAACTAGAGCAGTTAAAGTTGTTAAGCATTAATCAAGTGGCTCCATAGTGACAGGTGTGTACTGAAGGTATTAATTCGTGGAGGAAAATTAGCTATTGTTTCATGGGAGTAAAAAGACACGGTGGGGGCAAGGTAGACAAAACTCCTTTGCATCAGAAACCTTTTCCTTGGGGAGTGGAAAATAGAAAAATTGAGGAATACTGGGTAATGAAAGTGATTTATAGTACTTAAGTGTTTGGCTGGTAACTCTAATGGAAGAACTTAATAAATTAATCTTTTAACTTAATAAATTAATCTTTAAAAAAATCTTTAAGTACAGGAAACAGTCCTGGCAATTTTGCTGCCCTTGGAGGGTTCAGAAGAACAAATGAGGGCAAGCCATAACACCCACCTTACAGAGTGCAAAGTCCTTGAATGGTCATACCCTTGGCTGTCTGAAAGTAATGTTCATTTCTCCAAACCTTTGGATAATCTCAAAAAGAACAACCTAGAACAGCACATGGATTTCTAAAAATAAAATCAGTCTGACGTATCTAAAAGCTAGTTTTTATGTCTGGTAGTAAGGTTGGTGTACAATGCCATAATAAGTTGTTTTTCCTGCAGATTTCATGATCCAACATCTCCATTAGTGGTCTTCTCCATGATTCTTCTACCAGCAGATGTCTGGAGAAGGAGGACCTTGCTTTGCTTTCTCTCTACTGGTCTGGGACTTCATTTTTCTGAAGTTTTCTGTCTGGTTGCTAACATGAGGTCAGTTTGTGCCAATGTCTGCAACTGTCACTGAATAAGAATACAAATTTGGGCGTGAATGTGTTATGACTCAATAGATTCAATTTCACCCTGTTGATGTATTTCCTCTTCATATATTTCTACATCTATAAAATGTAAAATTGGTCAAAAAATCTACTACTAGCTGATTAATAATCCTCCTATCTTTAAGGGGAAAATGTTCCATTTTAGACCAAATGTATTATTTAATGGGAAAAAAAGCAAGTGAAATAGGATGGAGTTATCTGCTTGATGAAGGCAGAGTCTTCTCATGGATCAAAGATGGATGTTTTTGATAGATGATTCTGGAGTGACAACTGTCATATGAAGAGTTTGCATTTGAGACTGTTGCTTGGTGAAAAAGACTTTTTTAACAAGGAAATGTTTTTCCTTTTGTCAGGTTATTCAGTTTCATTTCAGTGGACACTTGCATTTGGTAATTTACTGGTGTTTCTTCGTCTTTTTCCCTCCATAAATCCTGAGTGAAGTTATAGATCTGTCTAGTGCTAACAGCAGCTCAGCTAGCAGGGATATATAGTGTTCAAGTTTGCAGATGAATGTCTAAAATCAAATGAGTCAAAAAAACCAGATATTTAAATTTTAAAATGTATGAACAAAGAAGAGAGGTAACCTTCACAATGAGGAAGCTTTTAGGTTTTCTGTTCCTGGAGAGGAGACTTGGGAGAGGCAAGACTTTCTATCTGCCTTTTAAATACTTGATGGTGTTTAAAAAGCAGATAGAAAGCTGATGGAGTCTTCATGGAGGAAACAAGGAATGATGTGTACAAGTTGCACCAAGGAGAGGGTTTTCTTCTCAACATAAAAAATAAAATTTGTGCAGTAAGAACTCATCCCCTGGAACAACCACTTCAGGGACATGGATGAGTCCTCATTACTGGAGGTTTCCAAGCTGCAGATGAGCAGAAAATCCCATTTACACTCCTTTTCCCATGAGGCTCGACCAGATGACTTTTTGAGGTCACTGTCAACCCAGACTGTTTTATGGTATATAAGGGAAAGAAAAGAGGATTTAAGAAAGCTGATTCCCAAACAAGGCACTTTTTGGTTGTGTGCACATGAAGGCAGTTTTTTTATTAAAAAAAATAGTTGGATAGAGGTAAGACTTATTGTTTTTATTGCTTCTTTAGATGTTCTTCAGCGGTATTCATTACAATTTGTGTAGTGAGCTCAAAAATTTGGATTCAGAGAGGAATTGCACCAATGAAAAATATCCCCCCCACAAAAAACCCTAAACCCCTTAAATTTTATTAAAAAGCTCTAGAAATTTCACTATCAAATATGAGAATGAGAAAAAAATTTTTGATATTCAATTTAAGTAAGAAAAAGCATGAAATGCAGTTCAGTTTTTAACTTATGTTCTTTGTCTTTACTTCTAAACGAAAGGAGCATAAGGGAAGTGGGAATTAATGTAAAACAGTGAATTTTATATCAATGTACATAACTCATTATTTTATATCAATGTACATAACTCATTATCAAAGAAATTTCAGTCATAAAGTGCTTGTTAAATTCTATATATAGATATTCTAAAGTAGACTATTCTAAAGTTTTTTGCTGAAAACATTTGGTAACACCACATCTTTTATGGGTGTTCCCACAGGACTCTGAAACAAGCTAATGGGAAGAACTGTAAAAAGTAGTAACCCTGTCAGCACAATTGATGGGCCATCTACTTTTCTGATCAGCACATGCACAGGGAGTTTTATTGCAGAGGGGAAAAACAACTAAACCAAATCAAACAAAAATCTTGTGATTCTTAAAAAACCCCAAACATTGCGTATTTTATGGCACACAAAAGCAGTAGGTACTCACCCAGGTCTCTGCTTTCACGTACCTGAAATGTAATATTTTTCTCACAGTCTGCCTATGGTCTTATGTTGTATTAACCCATGCCCCTGGTCTGTTTTCACCACTGGGCTTTCCCATCCAACAGAAACACATTGAGAGTCCATAAATTACAGAAGAAGGACTGGTGTAAGCTCTTTACACAAACTTTATTTCTGGGCCCAGTGGGGATATCTAAGAAAAAAATATAGCTAATAAATATTTTTATTCAATACATGGTTATGCCAGCTTAAAGTTTTCTCTAAAGGAAAAATAGAACAAAAACACTTAAAGGTCATTTACTGACTGAAGAGTGTATGATGGTAAGTACAATCCTTAAAGCGTAATTTTTCTTCTTAAGCTCAACTGAGTTCTTGGTAGTTTTCTCTCTCTGCTATGTAAACCTGAACACAGTACAAGAATGCTACAAATATAGACATTAATCCAAAATATGTGTATGCTCTTTGGTCTTGTTCTTAGTGTAGGCCAAATATTTCAAATAACTGATTTAGTATTTACATGTAAAGTCCTAGAACAGGAACCTTCAGGTTTTGAAGTCAAACATTAAAGTTAGAAAGAAGCCATAATTAAAGTCAGCATTCATTTCTCTTGCTCTGTCACTTTTGTTATTCATTGCTATGGCCATTAATTACATAATAATTTACTGCAAACCTCTCTATGAAACCTTAGCACTCACCACTGCTCAGGGGAGAAAGCATTTACTAAATGGGGAACTACTAAATGATTCTTCATTATGCTCCTCATTAAGTAGTGGTGCTGTATTTTTTTACACACCATCGAATTGCTGCACTTTATACAGAATTATTAATTTCCCTCATGGGGTTTCTTTGGTGTTTATCATCATGATCAAGGATTCACTGCGGTTTATGGAATTAGCTAAACAATAGCATGGTAGGTTAAGCAACTGCTTTGCCTTTTGTCTTACAGAAGTGAATTTAAGCACAGAGAGCTTATGGCTCAAGTAAGCCACCTTTTATTTTATGTTGTAGATTGAAGTGGCAAATATTTCCTTTCAAGGTGTGGTTGCACCACTTCCCTGTTCAGGTAACCAGTAAGATGAATTTCTTCAGATACACAGCACAATGTGCACTGCCTGATATTGTACACAAGAATTTATGACTGTGGGCATCAGCTGTCAGAATTTATTTGCTGTGTGGCCTCAGAGGTGTTTGCTGGTCATCAGGGGAGGGTTCTCTACAAAGACTTCTAGCTCCTCATTTTACAGCTTTTCTCTTTTTCTCATGGACCACTTTAGCCCCTATGGTCCTTTCCACTGTGGACTCTGCCTCTCTTTTTATTTCTTTCTATGTTTATCACGTTGTTCTGGAAACCCACAGCTTCCCATTTTACAGGAATAGCAAGGAGAGACGGGTGAGACTGACTTCCTCCCTCTGACCCTGTAAGAAATTTGCTTCTGTTAAATATGCCTGTGAAACTAATTCTTGCTTATGTCCACTTGTGGGACCTCTAAAGGCAAAGGTGTGGAAGAACATCACTGCCCAGCTGTGAAGGGTTGTGTAGTGCCTTTGTGACTTAGAGTGAATTTGAAAAGCCTTTAGCAGAGTCTGTGTCTGCAATGATTGTGGCACTGATGCAGGGAAAATCTTTGTGCTGGTTTTCAAAGTACCTACAACACAAAAACATGCCCCTGAGAAAAATTTGCTTCCTCCTTATGAAATAATAATGATCAAAGGAGAAATGAAATTCACAGTGACTGTCTTAACGTATGGGCACAACACAGGCACATATTGTTACAGAATCTCTGGAAGGGCAAGGTTGTAAGGGATCACAATCAGGTCCAACCTCCCTCCTCAGGCAGGACCATCCCACAGCACATGGCACTGCGTTGTGTGCAGAGTTCTTGAACATTTCCAGTAAGGGAGATTCCCCACCCTCTCTGGGAAACCTGTTCCAGTGCTTCAGTAAAGAAGTTCTTCCTCATGTTCAGGTGGAATTCTTGGATATCTGTTCCTGGTCTTGTCCTATTGCTCGGTACCACTGAGCAGAGCCTTGTTCCAGCTTCCTGACATTTCAGTACAAATTCTGTTACAAATACTTTGATTTAGAAAGCTCTGCCATGGAAAAAGCCAGCTTGTTTCACCTGAGAAGCAATGTTTACAAAGCTAATAGGCTTGCATTATTTTATGACATGTACTTTATCCAGAGCAGATCATTATAAGGTTTCTATTTGTTGCATTTATCTGAAATTATATATATATTATTACAATATATATAATCAACTTTTTTATTGTTTCTTTGCTGGGCAGCCTTATTATTTTGGAAAATTTTAATAAGTAAATGAGAAGGTATTTAAATGATTACTAGTAAATCTTGCACTGCTGAGAACTGACAGAGTTCTCTTCTGGCATTTCATGTTTCTTTTAGTTACATCAATAAATTATTGGGAAAAAAAATAAAAAGTACAGCATATTTCCAGTGACCCTTGTAATCTTTGAAGTTATTGATGTTGTTTCTTCTGTTTCTCATAAAATTTGTAAAATATCATTGATTGGTACTTGTTTCTTAAAAATGAAGATTTAGAACATATTTTGCTGTAACTGGTTTCAGCTTTCATCCAACTTGATGAAGTACTGCTAAACCAAACAAATCTGTGTCTGGGTTTCTTTAGGATAGCTGAATAAACTCAGATGAATGCTTAGGTGTCACAACATAAAGAGAGACACAGATACAACTGTTGTGACTAAGCTGGTGATATTTTATGATCTTTCATCACTGTTTTCTTTCCTTAAAAGCCCAATTTTATTGAAATAAGGAGACTTAATGGGTAATGACTTACAAATCTGCTTCTCTAGCCACTATTGCATCCAGGAGGATGGACCAGCATAATTGCTGCTGGTTGCTTTGTCTCACAGTGGTGTTGTCCTGCTGATGCTCAAGTTTCAGGAGCCCAACCAGGTCTTGGTCACCCCATTTTGGCTTCCCTACCCTGTAGCCCATGGTGTCTTCTTCACAAATCATTGTCCTCCTCCTTATAGCTTGATTTCATAGCTCCTAGTACATTTGCATCTTTTCTAAGTAAAAGGCTTCTGTTCACAGTGTGCTCTTCTAATGATGCTCTTAACTAGAATTTTTTCCCCTTTTCCATTTTTCCACCTCTCCGGGATGGTTGGCTGTGTGATTGCCTGTTATTTACAGCTTGCATGCACCAAATACCAGCAGCAAGGACAAACCTCATTTTCTCATTCCTCGCTGTACGCTAGTGAGCAAGTAAATGTGCTTAATTGTGTTTTTATCTGAGCTAATAAAGCTGTGCCAGGTTGTTAGACATGGAAGACTGCTTAAAGCCAACTCTGTCCCCACCAAGGGTCTCTGCAGACCCTGTTGCCTGGATACACTGAGGCCAGGGTGCCTCAGCAGGCACCAGCAGGGGCTGAATGCTTGCAGGGGAGCTCTCATGATCTGTAATTGCTCAGAGAAGTTGGTGATACTCTGAGTTTTCTTTATCATCAGTACCTTAGGAAATAAGGAGAAAGGCGTCCTTTCATTTTTTTTTCTTTTTTTTTTCTTTTGTTCTTTGTTTTCTTTAAAGTTCCTTTTCTTTCCTTTCTCTCTTATTCTTTTATATCCGTACTGCACTTGTCACAGTTCTGGCATTTTATGAATGCTCTTTCAGGACTGATTAATTTATTTCTTTTGTCTGCTAATGTATGCAGTGTATAAATTTAACATGCATCCTATTAAAATCCCTTAAACTGAAATTCTTTAACTGTATCTTTGAACTTTATTTGATATGCCAAATACACTTTAAAAAATGCATGAATCTGAATGTATTCTTCCCGCTTGACCAAGTATGATT